GGTGGTATGTCTCAAGATTAATTGGTTTTAAAAACCATTACCATTTTAATGTCTGCAGATTGCACTATGCCTGACAGTAATGTACTTATACCCTGCACAATCTGAATCTAATTTGTATTGTTATTTATCTGTTACTGCCAAATAAGGGCATTCAGTGGAGAAGTCTGAGATCTGCCATTATAAATCCACATGAAGGGCTCAGTGTCATCCTGAACTATAATTCCACTGCCATTTACCTCTTTTCATTGACAATGAACAGCACTCAATGCCCATGTATGAGAAAGCAAGAGAAGGCATTTGGTTTACTGATGATTTTCCCTATTAAATAATTGTCTGCTTACTAACACTCCAATGGGCCAAATATATCATATATGGGACAGCGTTTAATCAAATAAATAGTTCCTATCAATTTAACAGGCAATGTAGATGTGATACACAACACAGCAAAGGGAACACTTACATTCATCTTGAATAATTAAAACACACACATAAGTCTTTCCCAGGGTTCGGATGATTGTAGCTACATACTTCCTTGCTTCCCTAGTGAAAATATGGCTTTCTCATATTTACTTTTCTCTTTATTTTGTGTCTTAAGACTGCGCACAAAGAATCAACTGGGAACAAAACAGTTTCTTCGGGTTTTTAGTATTGACCTTGTGGACCCCTGAGTGCTGCAATTAAAAGAGAAGGGGGCTTTGCTCCCTGGGTCACTGGAAGTAAGGCCAGATTTTTGATCTGCATCCAAGTCCAGTATGTCATCACACATGAACAGGAGAGGTTAAAAGGGCAGATTTTTAAGTGTTTGACTGTGCAACTGCTGCCTGATTTGTAAACCCATAGTTTCTACAGTTGAACATGCAAATTTGGCAACTATGCACTCAAATGGTTCCTTGCAACTTTGACGTTTTAAAATATATACTTAATGTATAAATAGTCAGATGAGTAAATTGCTGTGCTTAGAGAAGATCTATGCCCACACTCATAGCAGCCTGAGTTACTGTTGAAATTAATAGTATTTTGCTAAATGAAGCTAAATGAGAACATCCGAATTTTCATGCAAAAACGAGATTTGCAATTAGACAAAACTTTTTGGTTTGTTCTACAAACAGATGAGTGGATATACTAAAAAGATTAGGTAGCTTTCTCTGGTCAAATATCATAACAGCCATCACCCTTTCTAATTTATAACAACTTTGTCTTTCTAAGGATGCTTTCCTTGGACATTTTTAGTGATTTTTAAGTATCAGCAATTAAATTTTGCAATGCTGAGATCACCAGGAAGCAAAAACTGGTAATGTAACCAGTGAGAACTGCTGAAGAACTTTGGTTGACATGCTTACTTGTATTAAAAATTGACTAACACATTGGGCAATACCTCATTAAACTACAAGCAGCATTGAGATGCTTATTTAGCCCAAGACTTGAAATTTAATCAAAAACACATCCCCAAGTAGCACAATGCCTTTAAAACCCATACCAAGTGCATTTGGCATTAGTGTAGTTCTGACTCAACAGAAAGAGTGCCAGTCAACATTGATAAAGAAAAAACATTTCTCTTTAGCAATTAACTATTTCCAGCACTGAAGTTGCTGTAGAATATTCAACAGTCTATCATCTGAGTTTTCAGAAGTAATGCTTTATTGTTTTTTTAGTTTTCTTGCTATAAAAGGGAATAGCTGGAATAGCTTACTGGAAAATATGAAAGCATTTCAGATTTTAAAAAAATCCCAGTTTTTCTTTCTTGTTGACAGTGCTTAGAAAATGTGGGTTGACTTGTTTTTGATTGCTGTTTAAATAACAGATTAATTTAATAATCATTGGGGTATTGAATAACAAGAAATTACGGGGAGGGACAGCCAAACCCTGACCCTAATGACATTCTTATGTTAATTCTTATTTTCTTTTAGGCTCCTGCTTTCTTAATAAAACCTATATTTTTGAAAATCGTTTTGAAACATTGCAAATTATCCCAAAGTAGCATTTATTTTTTACTAGTAAGAGATAAGTTTACATATAGAGAGTGTATTTTGTATGTCTGTATACATGTAGTGCCTGACTCAAAGTCCACTTAAGTGTATAGGTGTCCTTCCATTGGTTGAATAAGTTTTCAGAGATGGCTGAAAAGGTGAGCCAGCTGTTTATGGTGTAATTAGCATGTACTCCTTTCTACTGAGTGATTTCTTTGTGAGAGTACTTTGATTTAAATGCAAGCACCCATGATTAAAAATTATGATTGGAAACGTTTTTAAGAATAAGTCTTAGTTTTCATAACTACAGTTGGTAACTGTTCCCCTTGGTAACTGTGAAGTGCAGAGTATTTCTACAAGAGCAGTAACACCACACCCAGTACAGAATAAGACTGAGCCTCTGCCTCTGTATGACCTTGTTGACTATGACTGTGACTTTGTTAGCAATAACACAGTATTTGTGCTCCAAAATGTCTTATCTAAGTAACATTATATGGTTTCAATTAACATCAGTCATCATTCTTTCTTCTACTAAGAGACTGCTTTTAGTCTCCTTTTTCAAAAGGACAAGGGCTCTATAGCAGTGCCCAACACTGTAGGAACAAAAGACAGTGACTTGAACGAGTAACTTGTGACACAAGCTTTCTTGCAGTAGAGTATTTGCACAACTTTTGTTTGCAAATCTGTTCACAATATACTGACTTTTCCAGTGCCTTTCAATTAAGTTTGCAATATTAGAATGAGTGTATATTCAGCTAAATATTTACAAATACCTTTTTCTATTTGTAATCAAGATTTGCAAGTGTATATCACAAAGAGATCAATCTATAATATGATCCAAAGAGGACACAGAAAATAATCCTACTGCCTCAAAGGGATCTGAATCGAGAGCCCAGTATGCAACAGATGCCGTGCACATTAACCATTGAACACGGTGTCAGTTCAAGACTCACTGCATATAAGGTTGAACCCTAATTTTGACTGATTGAGCCCATCATTCTTAAATTACAAGTATTAGGCAAGACACTTGCTTGTAAAAATATTTATTGGTACTGAGGCCACGAAACAGAAAACTGGGTCAGAAGACGTAGGTCTACAAAGGACTTTGGGTCAAATTCCTTAGCTGTTCTGCGGGAAAGTGTCCTGGGTTATAACAAAAATATTTGGAATCTAATGCAGTCTGCAATCTTAGATGCAATTTGTAGATTGTTAATGACAGAGGGTAAACGGTATAACGAAGAACTTTCCCATGAGAATCTAAGAGTTCTTCTGGATTATTTCTTTAGGTTTTGCCATTGCTTGTGGAGAAAAATAATGGGTGCCTTGAGATCAGTTTGTAACTTACAGGGCTTTCTTTTTATTTTTTTGTTCCACTGTGGAACACAAAATGTTTTTCTATGAAAAAGATCTTAGCGCATTATTTTTGAAATACTATAATTTTCACTAAACTCAGTTTCCAACTCAGTGCTGTCCAAGTATTGCAGAATTGTGTTATTTTTGAAAGTTACTTCCTTTGACCTGAAGTTACCTAAGAAGACAGACTGAAATCTGCATTCCTTTGAGAAAACCTGGTCCTGTTAAATTAATCTTCTTTTCACGGAAACATGTCTGTCTGTAATATTTAAACATAAGAGATGTATGATAATTTGTTGCACAACTTCTCAGCAATCTTCTGCTAAATGATCACAAAATAAGGCTGCTTGAATTCTGCCATGCTGGCATGAAGCATTTATAGCAGTGTAATATACTTTATATTTGATATGTCAAGTGGAAAAGTCACGGCTTGATTTTGTCAAGTTTGTACATTTCAGGCAGTGGGACTTATTGTTACACTTAAAGGGTTCCCTAGGATCAATTTACAAAGCACTTTTGTACTTCTATCCCACAAAACCATATAAACCCAACTATTCATACTACACACTAATAATTTCCTTATAATTAAAAGTCAGTGAAAATAAAAGTGAATATTAGCACTTAACATACATCTCCAGTGTACTTACTCCTATTTCCTGTTTTAAAACAATGAAGATATCAAGGAGTAAATTTAGGACCAGGTCCAGAAGCACACTTATTGACTTAAAAGAGAAGCAGTTTTCACCTTTATTCGCTAACTGTATATTGATTTAGTCGTGAAAGGGAGAATTGTAACAATTTTTGTTTGACTTATAAATTATTCTTGACATTTATGTTGATAGACAAATTATTGCTGTAAATACTAATCTCCTTTGCCATGATGACCTCTCAGCATAAAGGAGATCCAATTAAGAGACTTACTGAAGTACAGAAATTTGCATAAACACCACCTATGCAATTCTTCAATTACAATGTACCATAGCTATAGTAAAAATGTCACTGCACATAGGGACTAAATGCAGAGAAAAGATATGTTTGATACAAAGGAGGAAAGCTAGACTGAAGTCTTTCTCTTCTTTTAACCCTACGAAGGACAACTTTAGAGCAGCACTGGTAGAACTGACAAGGTTGCAGCACTGACATGTGAGATTTGTTCCTATTAACTCAGCTTCCCAGCACTGAAAGTTTGGAGAATAGATTTAATCCTCTCCCACTCCTTCAGGCTAACAATTCTATGAAGGAAACACTGTTTGGCATTCAAGTAAAACAACCAGATCTCACTGTACCACAAGGGAACTTCTAAGCTATCCAGCAGGATTTCACTCCTGTACAGGAGAGCTAACAGCACCAGCCGTTTTGTACCTAAATCTTTGCAGAATATGCTCTTAGAATGCTGCCTGTGTCCCGTAAAAGTCTTAAAACATTCACTATTATTTGAAATTAGCACAAGCCTCTACTGGTTTTACATTTTTTTTTGGTAGAAAATAATCAGCACTACTTTAATTTAAGAGTATCAAACTTTTAAATGACCCCTTTAACAAGAGAAATGACACCCTGACAGAGGTCATTATATAAGATAAAACATAACAGACTTGTACGTTCTTCAACATAACCTTGAATAATTCAGTTTTACTGCTTTGTCACAAACAGTTGTATAAAAAAAAAATTGAAAGGGCTTACTTGAAACAGTCATCGCAAGCAATATTCCCCGTGGTCTCCTTTATAGTGCGTTCGGAAACAAAAGCTGGATATTCAGTATCACAGGGCTCTAGGGTTTGTTTCAACCTCTGCGCTATAGGCACAGAAAAAAATATCTTGATGTTAACATGGGAAGAACAGCACACAAAATTCTGAACAACACGAGATGCTGCATTACAGAGCTCACAGAGAACGGAAATGTTACTCAGCTTCTGCCACCCTGTGAGATTTCCTAGGCAGTGCATAACACTGTTTTTTTCAATTAGAAAAAAAAGTTTATCCATGGAATGTAATTTTGTAACTGTTAAAGTAGTTATTCACGGTTCAGCCATTGCCAACCTACTTTACATTTATGCACAAGCTTTTATTCTTTCTCTTTAGATTCAAGATGGACTTAGCACCATTTTTATTTCAGTGACGCTGTGCATCGCTGTTATGTGTGGAGGTTTACATTTACTTGATAACTAAATTGTGGTATGTTTTGCTGAAGCCAAAGCTTCATTTTTTTGGATTACAGCTTGGGGATCTTCACAGAGTTTCACCAGTTTGAATCACACTGTGGGCGGGGGGCAGAAGTGTTACTTTGCCCAGAACTAAAGCTTGTTATCTGCTTCCCAAAATAGTAATAATTAAGACTCCATAACACTTTTAATCTGAAGCCCTTGCAGAGCAAGAGGAAAGAAAGCATCACAATTTACATCGTAAAGATTGGGAAATTGAGGTACTGAGGAGCAGCGAGACAGGCTCAAGGTCAAGCTATAGGACAGCAGCAAAGCTGGGAACTGAAGGCAGCTCTTCTGACTCTCACACTGATGCGTCTGTTGGACAATGTCTCTCCCTCATTCCCTTTCTTTTTCCTCCCCACCCATTCATTCTTCCTTAACAGAGATACACTGGCACATCAGCACAAATGTTAAGCCTATCTTAAACTAATTGCTAAGTGAGAAAACAAGACGAGGTATGACAAAAATAGGTTACACTAAACAGGCTCTGGGACTTGACAGATCTTCCATTCAAGATAATCTGTTTCAGAGCCAGTGGTGTATCTATTGCACAGTGCCGGGGGAATGAGCAAAACTACATTTGCAATCACGTGCTAGGACATGCATTTCTGAACTGTTCATAATTTTTGTAATCTTCCCCCAAATGCACAGATCTCAAGGGAGATACTAAAGTTGGTCAGAAAAGTTTTGTTATTTCTGATGTTTTTCACTATGTTCGTGACATATTTAATAATTTAGCATTTTCTTAAGAGTTGTCTGACTAGCTCTACTGCACCTTTTCCCTTTCTCTTCTGTTTTGCTTATCTGTTGCCAAGAATGACTGAAATTTATCACCTGTATTTTGGTTCTATCTTCACTTGTATCAACATATGGCTTCTATAACAAAGAGACTGCCAGAGATCCATGGGTCTCAGATTTTCAGCACCTTGTCAGAGTCCTGAAGATGATGGGGTTGCCCAAGATTTAGGGCATCAGTTTCTTCTCTCTCATTTACAGATGTGATTGAGATTACATGACCTTGTGCAGAAGTATTTTTCATAGTAGGGTTTGGTAAATTGGCAGGTGTGTGGGGACCCTCTAGGATCTTCATAATATGTGGTGTTCTATTAATGTCATAATTTGAGCAAGAAGCAGCTTACTTATTAGAGAAACTGGTTTGTTTTTTTTTTTCTGACCTTTGTTAAACATTGTTATGTAAAAAAAGTGCGAGTTCATTGCTTTTAATTTTATGAAGAGCAGTCACAATTATTACAACTTTAAGTGGCAACATTGCATCTACAGAAGAATATACCTAAGCATGTGCTTTTCTCTCCTGCTGACTTCTCTCTTTTGAAATCTCTCTTGCTTTTGCTTTGCTAACATGTGTTGGTTTCCAAAAACTATCACTTGCTACCCGACTAAATTTGAACTGGGCAAGCAGTACCATAAAGATGATGATTTTCCACTGAGTATGATGAGGAATATTTTCAATACTTTTACTCATCAAAGAAATGGAGTAAATACTTTGTTTAGTTAAAACTTCATTTTCAACTAAAACATGAATGAAAATCCCTCAATCACGCTTATCTGACAAAGTGCTGTAATGACAGTTTTATCTTTAAGAAAAGAAAGGTTGCAAGTTATTAATGCCTGTCTTCTGTATTTAGTACACGTTTAAAATACAAATCAGACATCCATTTTCATGAGATGAAGAAGGATGCTATCTTTAAGGGGTATTTTCCCTAACATACAATGCAAGTGCCATTAGATGTTTCGTGTCAGGCTATATGAAGGCATGTTTATACTGTATTCTTGAAAAAACATCCCCAAAAGTTACCCATTCCCTACCCAGGCTGCATTGTGCTGTTCTGCAGACACCAAGGACTAAGACTGGCATACCTGCCATTCTTCTTCAGATGTAAGGAACAGTTTTGCATTTTCTGAATTTAGCATAGCAAACCCTATTGTCCTTCACAGCCATCAGCATAAGAGACGTTTTCATCATGGTTAGGGAAATCACTGGAAAGTTATTGGTCTTTAGAAGATCTGTCTAGGCACTGCTGGTTACGAAGCAGCCCTAAAAGCAAATAGTGTCTGGCTGGTTCTCATGAAGCTCTATTTGTGTATGTGCATCCAGTCTACAATGGACTCACTGCTCATGTAACAGAAGAATTGGCTTCAGTGTTGCAATGCAGGGTACAGTTTACAATAGTATGGGAAAGGCCATGCTAAGTTTAGGCATCTAAATTTCCAGAAGGCTCTTATCAAATCTCCTCCTCCAGCAGACACTCATCTCCACCTCCCCTTCTCATACAGCATTTACAACACGTTAGGCAGTAGCCTGACACGTGTTTTGTCATTTATTGCCATACTTTCTGATTGCTCCAAGGACAGATCTCTCTGCTAGAAGAGCTCCAGCATCTAATTTCTATAGTGGATATTGGAGTATTCCAGGGCATTGGTATCTTCCATTTTCCCCAATACCTTAACTTCAGACAGGATATTATTTTGCCATGAAGACAGTCTAGTATCCAGGCAATGCAAATAAAAAATGAGGCTTAAAGTAGTAATTTTATCCCCTGCCTTGTTAAGGAATATGTAAATCTGCAAATACAAGGCTGAAGAATGCAGTTTAAATCATTACACCAGTAAATGACATGCAGTAGAATTTGCCTATGAAATAGTCAATTGAAGACCACTACTCTTGCAAATTAGCTCTTTACTTTTGAGCAACACTTCTGAAACGCCATGAAAAGTCTGCTAAAATATAAGAGACAGTTGACACGGAAACTTTTCAATTCTTATGGGAACTGTTAAAATGTCATTATTATTTTAAAATGAAGCCTCCACATTTTAAAAAAATATTTTGAGTAAATTAACTTTTAATTCATCTAGATTTTATTATCTTAAAATGTTTATTTTGAGTGGACTGATAAAACAAAATACAGTTTTAACCAGTCTTGTTTAAAAATAAAAGCATAAAATTTACTACCTTAAGCATAAAATCATTTTCATGTTCCTGTGGACATTTGTTGAAATGGCATTTTCCAGCACAATAACCCCCTACATACTACAGCAGCTCTAGAAAAAGTGTGCTATAAGCAGAAAAAGGCTAGTGTAACGGCATTCTTCACAAGGACTGTTCTGGAATGAATGGAAACATTTTTTAAAAGCATATTTAATCATTAACTATTTAACTTTTCCATTATAGTAGCGTACTGTATTCCTAGAGTACACACAAGTGCTTCGTGGTTATTCGTAGAAGATCTTAATTATCTTGTGTTTTGGGAAACATTAGCAAATAAGAAGATGCTGACATGGGAGACAAACTATTGGTATCAGGTGTCTATTAGTTAATCTAAAATATTTTACACACCCGAATTTCAAAAATCCAATTTAATCTAGCCATTCCTGCCATTATGGACAGGAAAAAAATAATTACACTTACCTTTTGCTGTTAGATCAGAGTGCCACCAACTGCATAGATTAAATTCCACAAGGAACCTAAAGAAATCATTAGAGTTTTCATATTATCCTGCAGAATGTTTTGAAAATGCTAAACTGGCAGTAGTTCAATACCATTAACCCCATTTTAAATAAAAGCTAATACAGAACTGAAATTCATGTTACTAGAATAACTGTGATTATCAACTACTGCTGTTCTCATACTTTCACTGGGTTTTATCTTACCACCAAGAATTTGTACTGAAAGTAACCCCATCAATAAAAAATAGATTTACATATTATTAATTTAAATTATTGATATTATTTGAAGTGTCCATTAAAATTCTCAATGCATGGCAGCATATGGTATTCTTACTGTTTGAGTATTATTTCTTCACTATGCAGGGTATTTTGACTTCTCAGTAAAATGCCGTAAGGTTACAACTCTCTTCGATACAGTACAGAAGTGTACATAAAATAGTTTCTTACATTAATTCTGGAACTAAAATAATAAAGCTAATTTATTTTTAGGAGCAGAAAAGATTGATCAACCAGTGCCTTATCAACTCTAACTAGATGTGTAGGAAATGCATTTTCCCACTAAAATAAACTGCAGTTTACTTTGAAGAAGGGACTGAAATGTGTCAGTCTATCAGGTATTTTAAGTATAAAGAATGTGAAACCAACAAACAGTTTATCATATGGACATGAAGCTACAATACTTATAAACACAGAAAGTTTCTGGAAATTTTTGAAGCTGTTGTAGCTAGCATCAAAGTCTCATTTTAACATGATTTCTTTCCCTGATATTTACTTTGAAAGCTGCATTTAAGATCAATCTCTGCCCTCTGGCAATAGCCATTCAGTTAATTTTCCTTAACTCTTATTCCAAACTTTGATGAAAGCTTATATAATTTACAATTAAAACAAAAGGACTACAGGAAAAAATTAGTACTTTTCCAGTAAAGATAAAATTTACTTAAACCTGTAACTCTGCTCTCGGATAAGAACAACAATAAAACATATAGCTTAATAACACAAGATAAATTTTAAGGCTTCCTCTTCTCCATATGATATTTCACTGTAAATTCTTAGACGATCTCTCTTAAAGGCAATGCTCTTTATGTATTAACTTGAAACGTCGGAAGAATTAGGCCAGGTAAAAAACCAGCAACATCCAGAGTACACCTTATCTGGCATATACTGTAAAAGGTCGATCTTACAGAAATTCATGAAGTCACAAACAATGCAGTGAATCACTGCTTGCTATATTGACAACAGCCCACCCAAGCAGCATTACGAACAGCCAGACATTTATGTAAAATTTAACAGCAACTACAACAATAAATTTGGTTTGTATATCGTGATCTGCTAGACTCACTAAGCAAAGACATACGGATATAAGCAAAGACCATGAATAATGTAAAAAGTGCAACTGTGCATTCATATAGCCAAAATTTTCTCAGATTTAAACAAAGCAAAAATGGAAAGGAAAATATTAACAAATATTACTATATTTAAAATCATATAATAGAAGTAGCAAAATGTATGCAAAAGGCAAAAAGTACAAATATTCATTAAGTATTCAGAAGTACAAATAGTCATTAATTCATACAAATATTCATTAAGTTCTTGATAAAATTTACTTACAAGACAAGCTCAGTCATAATCCATTTTACTGCAGCAAAGAAGGCATTATAAGGCTGAAGAGAAGCAACTCATTTAATAAAAAGGCAAAACATGCAGTATTTATATCTTAACTGAATTCTTCAAGTAAAGGCAATGTTATGAATATTCAAATGCATGGGTAGCACGAAAAAAGAATAATATTTTTTTCTTATGAAGAAGCAAGTATTATATTGAATATTAAAACATATAGCAATGAAATTTCCTTTTAATGTGGTTGGTCATGTACACAGATTATCACTTGGAAAAGGAAAGTTTTGCAAATGATTCTTAAATATTTAACCTCTAGGGGTTCCTATTTCCCAGGCTATTGCTGGAGGAACAGCTCTGGTAGATAATATGAGCTTTTCTTAGCCTACAACTCAGAGGCTTGCCTCTCTGTAATGTAAATCTCTGTTCATTACCTCAGTCTAATTAGGTTAGGAAAAGATTCTGAAGTTTGAATTTACCTAAATGAAGTTATTTCTGTCATACTGAAGTTCTAGTTGTAAGCACTTCAGGGAGTTTCTAAGATTCTTCCCTCCTCCCTCAGTTTTTCTGGATCATAACAAATACAGCAAATACTTTGAAAATCCTGTGTTTACAGTACTTCTACTACATTTTGAATATTTTACTTTTTAAAAGAATATCAATAGGATTATTCTTTTATGAAATAATCTCAGGCAGACAAGTCAATTTCCAGAAATTTGGAAGGGAATCTATCCTCATCTTACTGATTTGTGTTACGAGTCCCCTAGCTGCATAAAATTTTGCAGACTTTTTAGATTCCATGTCAACAGAGTATTTTAGCACATGTAAGAAGTCATATTGACTTCAAGAGAACTACTCAGACATCTTAAATCATGCTTAGCCATCCTGAATTGGCACCTTACTGAAGCAGTGCCATTTTGCACAGCAGTAACTGGCCATTTGAAGTTTTCAGAGGCCACAAAGAGTATTTCTGCACAGGGCTGATAACTCGCAGAGCCAATGAACTAGTGTCAGTCTGTGGCATGAAAGGCTGACATAGCAAGCCAGCAGAATTCCCAAGAGAGTAAAGATTTTCACCTATTAAGGACTGTCTTACAGGAAAAGATAAAAGATACAAGTCTTTCCTAGAGATGAAAAGAAAATAAAATTTCAGCCCTGTGGGGCATCTTACTTATTTTCATTCCAAATCGGAAAACCTGAAATTTTACACCTAATTAATTAACTTTGTTGCATACTTTTGTTTTCGTAATGCCAAATGATTTAGTGTAAAAGAATATATTTCTTATTAATTATGAATAATACATATTTAATGTAAAGTACACTGCATATTATAAAAACTTTTAAATATAAGAACTAAAAGAAAATTTGAAATCACAATATACCAAAAAAATAATTCAATAATATGAAGAGAAAATGAGAAAAATAATTTGGTTTGAAATTTTAGTAGAAAACATTACATTGATATAAATGCATTCTCACGAAATGTGATTTTACTAAGACAATCTTTTCCACTCAAAGACTGCTCCTTCAAAAACTGCAGCAAAAACTGCAGGAGTTTTATTCTCTCTATACATCTAAACCATCATTGAGAGTCAAAGGAGTTGAGCTGGGTGACTGTATGGCACTCATATACTTGCAACAAAGTGGTTCTATGGATAATTATCTAGGACTTGAATAAATTAAAACAAGAAAATACGCTAAATAACAAAGTATCTGGATATCTTTTAAGAAGCAACTCTATACTAGTAAAGAAATGGATCTGATGATCTGTAAATCTAGTCTATCCCTAATTTATCATTTTAGTCTTACAGCATAAAACACTATATTAGAAAGAGGGGTCCAGCCCTGACACTTTTTTTCCACAATTTTGGCAGAATGTTGTGACAGATACTTTAGTAGTCATACAGTCTTTGATGCCTATGCTCCACTTCTATGCTGCTTAAAATATGAACTTTTAAAAGAGTCTCAGTCTTGTCCATATATCTATTCCTATAGTTGTAAAACCATTATTCTCAAAAGGAAGGGTAAACATTTGTGAACAAACATTTTGCTTATGTAGAAACTGTGCTGAATGCTAATAACCTTATCTATATGTACAAAAGTGGGCATAAAACCAGGAAAAAATACTTTTGAGGAATCTAGCCCTACCTGTTTTTAATGCAAGTCCTCTTTATACTTTCTCTGTAGTTATGAATATTAGCAGTGACTGAATCAACAGGAAAATAACAAAATAACCAAAACTCTGCCCATCTTTCATGTTGAACATCACAAAAACTCACTTGAGGTTTAAAGGAGAGTTCGGCTATCTTTAAAAAAATGAAGGAGGAACATGCTTGTCATGTCTCAGTGTATCCAACAACAGTTGCAGAGTTTTTTCTCTGCAAACAGTCTGGACAACAATTGGAATAGTGACAATCTCTTGAATTAAAGCCCACTTGTAAAAGAGAAATACTTCAGCTCTACGTGCTGGGTGCTTATTCAAACTGAGCTGAAGCCTCAAGTCTTGGGATGGAAGGTTGTTGCTAAGAGTTGTAATATATTTTAAAATTTTTCATGGAAATATGATTCACAGCATTCCATTCTATTTCTCTGACAATTTAAGTCTCACTGCACAGCCTGGTACTTATTATGTCAAAATAGTCTTTTTTCAGGTTCAGGCTTTAGCAGATAATAGACTGATAAGTGCAGTAGATCCAAATTTGCAGGTATTTTAAAATTATAGTCTCATGTAAATATGTAAATGAAAACATCCCAAAATGCATATGATTATTAAACCATAGAAGCTATATATAGATATTTGGAGGTTGCCAGAACTTTGATATTTATTCAACAGTTTAACTATGTGTAGGCTTATTTTTTCCTAGCTCAATCCCTGTGCATTTAAAAATAGTATCAGATAACTTTTCCAGACCAGTAAAATTGCTAGTGTTTTCCTGCTGTCTTTACAGAAGAATTTTTCATGGTAATATTGTCATAGTTGTTAAAATGGTTACTTTTTAATATGCAAAAACTATACCTTATCTAACACCTGATCACTTCTGATCGAATATTAGAGTAATCAGTAAAACATATACATGACTACAAAATACCCTTAGCGTTATTTCCGAGATATGTGATTTAGCAAGAAGGAAGTGTCGCCCTCACAAGACCCAGCTGGGCTCTAATCAGACCTTACAAAGGGACAGGGTTTGTATTCAGATCTGATTGCAAAACAATGGTTTAAATGCATTGAAATTCTACTTCAAAAAACATCTTATTTAAATACTAAGGGAAAAAAATGTGTTAGAATCACTGACTTGTATGCCTTGCCAATGAATCAATTCTTACATACTAAAAAAAACCCCCAAAATCTCAATTTTAATTTGAGTTATATTTCTGCATGCATGTATGTGTTTACATACAGAAAAGGCATATGTGATCCCAGTCCCCCAAACAAAGCAATCTATTGCCAAATTTACAAAGTCCTATGAAGGAGGATTCTTATGGTGCAAAGAACATTCTGACAGAACCTCAGAAATGGTGGCCCAGCATTAAAAATGATTGTGGAAGTATTTGAACTTGAAAATGCTTAATACGTTGCATTTGTTTATAATGAACCATTCCTTGTAGGCACTAGGATAAACACGAGAGCTGTAAGCATTCCAAATCAAAATAATGGACTTACAATGGCCGTGAGATATTTGCAACAATTTTCTTTGATGATTGCATGGAAAGGTGCTCAGAAAATTTACTATACTTACGTCCAGTAAGCTATGGGCACTGTCGCTACTCTCTTTGTTTGTTCTACACATGGCCTGGTAGTCATAAAGTGTAATTCTACAGAGAAGAATAGAAAACTGCTTGACTAAAAGAAGAAAACACAGTGGAATCAAAATGATGATATGGAACAGTCTGCCCACAAAGTAGACAGGAAAAGAAAAACTGTAACAGCAGCAGGGAAAAGAGGGAAAGGGATCGTTAAAATACAGGTTACACAAAAGAGACTAAAGGTAAGAAACACTGTGAAAACTTTGTAAGGATTTTATCAGACTACAGAACAAAGTAAAAGCGTAACTGGGAGAAACCAGGGAAGATACACATACAGTGTAACACACAATGATATAAACGATGCGAGGAGGAGGAGAATACACATTCAACATGATGCTTTAACAATTGGTTCTGGACTGAGATCAGCACATTTAGCCCCAGAAAGTGAAAGAACCTATGCATTTGAGGGGCTTCTCACAACAGACCACTCCTGAACTCCAGTAAAGGCAAAAAGGCTCTTCTACAGTTCTAGCATCTCAGTGCACAACGAATTTGTAAAAACATGGTGTTGCTTCCAAAGAAGAGAGAGGTGAAATTTTGGTGTATTCACAGAACAGATAATTGAACAAGGATGGGTTTACATTTGTTTCTTTTCATGAGGGCAAAATATTTCATGACAAGTACCTGCTAAAATCAACATATGCTAGAAGCCTCCTCAGATGCATAGTAAACAGGGAAATTTCTTTCTGCTTGTGATTTTACTCATCACTGATACACTTCAGAGATCTAAATGTAAAATCCAGAACTCAGAGATAGTATATGGAATTGTGATTATTTCTCTAAATCTGTCTGTCCATAGAACAATTAATTAACTATATCCATCCACATAAAAAGCATTTAACATCTATAGCAAATGTAAAGAATCTTTAGCTGATAAGTTGCAACAAATGTAAATATATAAAAGTTACTAGTATTATTTGTACATATCCATTTGACTTTTGCATCATCAGAAGGACAAAGGAACACAATCGGACATAGATGACTTATAGATGTATGAGATGGGACTTCAACATTTTGCAATGTGTGCCTTGCTTTTAAGTGAAGAGGAAAGGAGAGCACACAAATTCGGCTATGGAAAGGATGTCCCAGAAGCTGCCAAAAACAGGTCATGAAATGCATTCAGCATCACCATGAGGCATTCTGCACTGCATGCCATGAAACGTTGCAACCTGTACCAATAAAATGCGGTAATCCATTGTGGTAGAAACTGCATATAATTTTTTCCGATCTCGTTTTGTAACAGCAACCATCACTAAAAGCTTCTTTATTATGCCTACGTTTTCTTTTTGGCTTACAGGCAAAATATCTAATACATTGGCTCTTGCAGCTTCAACTAAACATTTAGTATATAGTCATACTGCTTACATTAGTAATTTTATCTTATATTCAGAATAGAAATGGCCAGGAAGCCATTGTTTTGTGGACTGGCAGAGAGAGGCACATGGTAGACAAACGCATAACTAGAGACCTAAACATGGGTGTAAGTTGAACACTGACCATATTTGGCAGAATGACGCCCACAGCCAGATCCGCGCACACAGATCTGCCAAGACAAACAGAGCAGTACATGGTGTAAGCTGTGCTGCCTCTATGGCATGCAGTAATACACCACTTTCCCTAGCTTTTTTTTTTTTCCTTTATTTTTTTCCCCCTTTAACCATGGTCAGAATCCAGCCCCTGTAAGGTAATCTCTACACCTCAGCCTTTCCAGTCTTGTTCGCTTGACTGTTTTATTCCTCTAGATCCAAGGACTGTGTCACATGTCCACTTGGATCTCCTAGTGATGGTGGCAAGTGATAAGCACAGAGACAAGGGCAGTTTACAGATGCTAATGTGCTCTCTGCAGAGTAGTTGAGGAATTCTATGAGTGAAATAGGCTCATCCTGCTTCATTCAATATCCAGTGCTACAAGTAGAACAGCATTCAGTTTTGTCTTTATTCTTTGTAAATGGCTTTTTAATATAATAAGTTTGGTGATCATTTATTTGGTGTTTGAAAGTGCAATCAATTCATCAACTTTCAATTTCATACACCTGAACTACTTGGTCATTCTGCGGACTTCATTATTCTATTAAGAAGTGTTAATCAAATACTATTATCATGTGGAGCATCTGTTATAATTTGAACTTTACTTTAAATATTGGAATAAGCCTTTCCCCTCTCAATATTTGTACTTGTATTACATTTCTCATGTAATTATTACATCGTAATAGATATAATAGTTTCCTTAAATGCTCAAAGATAAAAAGTCACTAAAAGATTGAAATATATACTCAAACAAATAGTCAGAAATATAATTAATATTGTGCTTCAACATGCTAGATTTTATTTTTTGTAGATTGCCTGATTGTATTATAGGAAGTATATAACAATCTAAGATTGCATTATAAGCAAGAGGAACAAAAATACTAAAATGTATGTAGATAAAAAAACTTCATTTAACAGGGAATAAAATACAAAATTCTAGAGTGATGGCAGAGAGGAAGAGTTGTAATAAACAACCTTAAAATCATTATGAAACACTGTGAAATTGCTGTTTGGAAATGTCTGCATATCATCTGTGGATGATATTATAATGAGTTTAGTTTTAATAAATATATTTAAAGGCGTTTCCAGTGTGAAGATTCTGGTTTAGGAAAAAACTAGTAAACACATAATGTATCCAGGTTAAAAAAATAAAAAGAAAAAGGAAAAAGAAAGGAGCAAATCCTCAGAAAGGTACATGGCAGACAGATTTCTTTACGAAAGCTTGGAATGAGTTCTGTTTTTCGAACAACATTTTCCCATCTCAGTAACTTTCACAGTGGGCAGGTTAAACACCTATCTGAAAGTTTATAAAGATGATTCAAACAACTCTAACACAGGACGTGCAAAACATACCAGCGAAAGCATCATTGCCAAATGATCTTAAAAGACCTGATTCTTCAGCACTAAAAACAAAAAGGAATTTTGCAATACATGTCAAAGATCAGTGGATGAAGCCCATCACTACGTTGAAATCTGAACACTGCAACATAATGAATCAATTCTGGCTTCTCTGTCACCATGAATGGTATTAAAGCTGAGTATAAATGGGTTCTAGGGCATTCACCAATTCAAATCCAGTTTTGTTTTTTTTTGATTCTTGTAAATGTTCTATTTTTTACCCAGGCTACTATAGCATTTGTAGTCAAAATAGTAGCCTAAGACACTGCAAGGCTTCTGTGTTCAGGTGTCATTTCCAGAGTGTTATTTTATTGCTGATGTCTTTCTGGGATTTTAGAAAATACACTTTCTTCTCACTCAGACAGACTTAACTCATTGTTGCAGAAAGAAAGGCTTCCAGATTACCCTTTTTGAAGTGACTGTATTTCAGTTTTAAATAACTGTTTGCAGCTAACCATATCCTGTTCAACAGTCCATAGTTAATTAACATAACTGCCTGCTTCCCATGATCTAACTTTAAGTCCATCTAGATGCCCAAATCCATGCTATATGTTACAGCACCTCGCAGGAGAGCTTTGCTCTTTGCCACAGATAACGTGCTTAAGACTTTCTGACATCACCATGCTGCTAACTCCACATCTGGTCACTGAAGTCTACAGAGGAATTGTTTTCAAAATCAGTCATAGGACAAACACAGACTATGTGCAATTGTCTACAACTAATGGAAAATAACTTAACCAAAAACTAAATGTGCACCTCCGTTGCCTATAACTACAGGGGTCAAATACATTTTTGTGAAAATCTTTTTATTGTCATTTTCCTGATTCAGTAAATTCCAGTCTTCTACTTTGCAATGTACTTACAATTGACTATGAATCTGGTTCAAGAAAATTAAACTTCCAAGACCTACTAGCAGCACAAGCTATATCAACAAATGTACCCTATGGCTTTCTACTACTACCTAATGGATTTCTACTTGGTAGTGTAAAATACCCTCACTGACAATTATAACAGCTGAAAGATATTAAATGCATAAAATTTCGAATGTTTTATCACCAGTTCAAAATTTGGAGTTTTTCCTATAATATGTACAAATTATAAGCTTCTTACCATGGAAGTAAATGTAAAGTCCATAGAAAAAAAGGAAGAATTGCTCCAAACAACAAAGCAAAGTAAGCCAATAATACAGGAAGCCCTAATTATTTACACAGTATGCTTTACTCAGCAGTCTATGTAAAATTGTAGTGGAAAGATGTTCAGACACAAGATATGCAGCCTGGCTGGCATTCTAGCAAGGAGCGGAAGGAGGGACAGTGTTGAATGGTATGAAGAGTAAACCAGTTTCTAAAGTCTAGAGAGGGTCCTTGTGGGGAGGTGGCAGGACATTGAAAGAAATCCTGTGCTATTGCTGCTCTGGCTGTCTCACCTTCATCGACAGATTATTAGTACCCAGAAGCTGTCAGACTAATACCTTTCACCACCAAGAAAATCAACGAAAAGCATAAAAATAAATTATAGCAGTTTGACAAAACAAACTTGTCATCACATATCTTTCCCAATTGCCAAGGTGCTCCAAAGCACATGTACAAAAACTACAACTCAAAGTGGATTTCTAGGATACAGAACGACAAGTCACATAGCACACATGCCTGGGTTTCACCTTAAGTGCGTAAAAAGGTTTCCATATATTAATACACTGCACTAAATTAGTGGTAATATTTACAGAGATATAAACTCTAACCATGTCCAAACAGTTTTAAGACATTAATTTTAGATTTCAGATGGCTAAAATATGAGCAGAAAACATACCACACAGCAGTGCGGAAGTTTCAGAGTGCAGGTACCAGATGCACATCTGGTAAATGCAAAAAAAAAAAAAAATTCAGAACAGGGCTTCTCTTGTTGGTAATGACAAGAGGGAAGTGACACATATTATTTGGTTCTTTTGTACCTACTTGTAGATCTGTACTAGACAGTCTGCTATATTGTGGCCTTTGACAGCTATTTTGTTGATGAAAATGAAATGTCATTCTCCAGGGCACTACAGCTATATATTATTCATTTAGGAATTGAAGAATAAAGGTGCAGGCCTCATACATGCTCTGCAGCACACGCGAAAGCTAATACAGAAGATAATTATTGGAAATAGTCTGCTCATTTTCCTACCTTGAATGCCTTCTGCCTGCCCATATGAAAAATGCCTATTTATCTGACTATTTTTTGTGGTATTTATGCCATAAACATAGGGTATACCTTGAGCTTACTTTATCTTCTACTAAATAAATTATCACTAAAGACAGGGAAATTTGTCATACTATAAGAACTGCTTCATTGCAGAACTGCTACATCACAGTTGCATTTGTTCAATACCAAATCAAACAACTTTGATTTGAACTGTTCCTTCAGTCTGTCACTGATCTTCTCCAAAGTACACGCCTACATTCACGATTTTTAAATATAAGTGTCCATTTAACATCTTCAGCAAAAATTCAAGAATATCTTATTAAAATGAATGCTTAAATAAGAAAGAGTGGCTTAAACTAAACAGAAAAAATCCTTCATTTGGAGGCTGTGGTGCCTCAGTGGAAACGGGTCCTGTTGGTGAAATACTAGTTGCTGTTTTCGTGATTTGGCTTTAAGAATGTTTGGCTCTTTGCAAGTAACTTAGCAAAGAATTCTGATTTTTTTTTACAGTCTTATAACCTGGAGGCAAAACACTTGCTAAGTTTTGCTTATAAAGCAAATCAAGACAGAGAGATGAAAGTCTGCTTCTATGTGCATGCATTTGGAGAAGACAGGTGAAGGATTTGGACAGTACTGTGCCTTAACAGCACAGCCAGCCTGCATTTTTCACTAGGGAGCATGTAAATAAAGATAAAGGAACAGAAGAAGAAAAACTGAAAAACAAGAGAAGCTCTCAAAGCAATGAGAACTTATTAGAGTGAGCCTTAGCATCTGGGAAAGATAGAATTCAGGGTTGCACCATTTCAGTCATAAATCCTGACAACATGATTAAAAACCAAAGCATAGATTCTTCTTCAGAGGCCAAGAGGGTGCCTGGGGGAAACAGACCTGTTAAGAAGAAATGATGCTGCTTCCATATTTTTCTTACAGAATTGCTTACTTTTCCTTCTACTGGACAGGATGAAAGTCTTTTGAGGAGATATTTAATTTTCTCTTACAGATTTATTAGGTTAATTTCTTTGGGGATCTCATTGCTTCGATAGCCCTTAACTTTTCTGATGTTAATGTGATTTTTTTTAGATTTTCATGCTTTGAGCAGTCAAATATATATTTTTCACTGTTTTTTATGTAAACAAAGTGCTGAGGAAACTATAAAGAAACTTTTTTCTAAGTTATGTGAAGCAGATACCTTTTCATGAGCTCATCTTTATTTAATAATGAATTTAAATTATATTTAAATTATTTAACTGTGTGCAATATTTCGGGGTATAAGATAAACAATTTTGCTAAAAGAAATCATAGAACATGTCACGTTGCTGTGGAGGCACCTATATAATTTCTCTCCCTAAATATAAAACCCATAAACTAAGAAAATATACATACATACATATGCACATATTATTCAAAAGAAGTACTGAGTTTAAAGAAATTGAGGAGGGAAGGAGGTATTTAAGTTCACTTTAAAAAATAAACAGCGAACACAAAAATTGAATTTCATCCTGCTGCAGGTTAAAAGAAATACAGTCAGTGGCAAACAACCCCCTTTTGTTTAACACTTCCAGCTCAATCCTAAAAAGAACTTCTATGTCTCTCCAAATTAGTGGTAGTTGAGAGAACACACAAAGGGTTATTTCATTCCTTTTGTGGATGGAGAGCCTGAAAGCTGGCACGAATCAGCAAGGTGGTAGCACATATCTGCACTGCCACTCAGATTATTGGTGCCGAAGGAAGAAGGAACTCCCATCCCCACCGTTACTGGGGGTGTTAGGAAACTCTTCTGTAGTGAAGATCAGGCACTGTAGAACTTTCTACGTCTAAACCAAACGCAAAAGCAGAAAGACCGGATCAAACAGGGCAAAGATACAGAATTCATCTGTTGGATAGTAGATGCCATATAAGAAGCAAATTGTAAGAAAAGATGGCTCTGGATATTATCAGAATGAAACGCTGATGAACAGAGCTTACTCTGATTTTCTCTCTGTGGCAAGAGCAGCAACGATAAGCACCATGCATGCAATATCTATATTGTTGTGCTCTCAGGGAAAGGGTACTGGTAACAGATTTTGCCACTGCATCAATTCAGTGGTTTTTTTTCTTTTCTTCTAATTCCATATTAAATAAATTTTGGAAAAGCAAAACACAACCCCACTCAAACAAATTAGTAAGCTTAAAAGTATGGTAAATGTGTCTGATTATGTTTCATGAGAGATACCAATGATTTCATCTTCATATTGCTGGAATAATTTGTTTTAAAGGCCTCATCTAGCACAGCTCAAAGACAGTCCAGGGTTGGGGTTTTTTTTGTGCTGCACAGAGCTATCTGCTGTACAGCAGGAAAAGCAGGTGGCTCATTTAGTGCAATTACACCACTTCGATTCTCTCCCATTTTTAACTGATTGGCAATGGCCAGTTTAGTGTGTTTAAATAATCGGCTCATTGTGTTTACATTTTCTTTAGTGTGCAGCTCAGTTGCACTGAGCTACTGGCTTCATTATCTGTAACTCTCTGGGAGCTCAAGACCAGCGAAATCAGAAGCCAATGATCCACGCCAAATTGGCACCCACAAAGTTTAGATGGAATACTCGAGCCATGTAGCCTTTGTTTTCCCAATGATGGTGCCTACTACCATCCATTGTTCAGTAAATATTCTGCTTGAAATTCTTTGCTAGGCAGGACAAAACAAATTGGGACAAATTAAAGCATTATCCCTTGATTTTAACTGTATGTTTTCATTTGCATTAAATAAAATGCTTCATCTCTTGTGCAAACAGATCTTTTCATTGTAGAACCCATTCTATAAATACGTATTACTTCACTTCCTTTTACGGCATATGTTAAGAATGTAGTGCTAAACACAAAAAGGTTGCCACCCTGAGAAAACTAAGATTTGGGATGATTCAGTGAGTGCTAGATCTTTCCACTTCAGGTCAGTCATTTACTGGGAGTGGTATTCAGCTATAATGTGCAGAGGCAGCACGGAAAGCTTTCTGCCTTTAAGAGAGCTGGTTTACCAAGGAAGACACAAACCATCTGTTTTGAGAGCCTCTCTATACACCCTCACATTTAGTAATAACTAAATTCAGTGGTTGATGGGATCAGTGAGGTGTCTTTTTTTTTTTTATATACTAGAAATGCACAGGAAAATAAAAAGGGAAAAGTGTAATACATATGGTCTGCACTTCTCTCATGCTGTAAGAGGACAAAGGGGTAAGGAACATTTCTTAGACCATGTGAAAGCCATGAAGACTCCAGTGTTGAGTTACAGGTTAAAGAGAAAAGTTATTTCTTACTTCTCCAGGATGTATAATTTATTTCAAAGGGTGACACATAAAATCACGATTAGTTTTTATTGTCATGATGATAGTAAGACCAGGTCAATAGTCACAACAATGTTCAAAGGTGAGTTAGCATGTGAATGAAAGTGAATTACTGGCAGAAGCTCCTTCCCTTTAACAGAAGGGCATTTCGCACTACCTGGTTTGAGCAATCTCCACTATTTTACAGGTCAAAATGCTTAATGTTGACTCAGTTATTAGCTTTACAGCCATTCAGAATTGTTCAGTAGTAGATATGGCCCAATCCCTTTTCCACTTGAGCACAGCGGGACCAGGAGAAGAGCACAGTTTAGCATCATAGTCAAATAAACTGTTCTGTGAACAAGAAACTCACTGTAGGCTGGCTCCAATGCTCCTTACATTCAATGGCATCGAGTTACCCTCAGATCATATGGAAAAGAGGTGTGAATGAGAACCCAGCCACGCTGCCACTCTTGGCCTTCTTTTATATGACTTTAGATTTGTTTTATTTAATTTTGTTGTTACAACATTTTTTAAGAGATATAAAGTTGAGTTAATTCTTACCTCTTAAAGGAGCCCATTGTTAGTAACTTGTTCATCACAGCCCCTTCAACCTCCCCAAAAAAGTAACCAGTCTGTAAGGGGAAAATGCAAGAAATTACCCAAAGTGTAGCAACACTGGATGCAATTTAAACTGGCATATTCTAGCATCTGACAAGAGTGGCTTTGACAGTTACATAGCTAGGTTTTCAGGACTATGGCTACATAAAAACTGAAGAGGAATTCACAGTCATGGCAAGTTATAGGGATTACATTATTATCCCTGAGCAGATGTGAGAGCTTATACAATATATTGAGGTACATTATATAACATCTAATATCAGAAATAAAAGCCATCCAAACCTAAAGCTTGTAAAGAAAACACACTAATCTGATCACAAACCCTTGTGATTAAAATGTTACTCAAAAAAGATATAAACAGGTTGTGAGAGGATTTCATAAACAGTCATAAAAAAACATTGTTTATAATTCCTGCATGACCTATTTAAGGAGCTGGAACACTACATTTCATCAATCCTATAAATTTTAACTCCATTCAGAGTCATTTTATACTTAAAACCACTCAGCCTGATGAATTACTCATTTTGTCCTTGTTCAGTAAAGGTGGACTAATAAAAATAAATCTCTGTTGAGAAAACAAACATTCCTGTTATGAATTTGGTATGTAATACGGAAGTGACTGCATCATCTGCAGCCATTCATATGACATTGGAAAATTTTGCACGTACAGCATTTTTCTAGTTTGGGAAGACATTTTTTATTTTAGAGCCTCGACTCCCAGAGGGATTTGGTATGTTCTCTGCATTGTTTAAAGGGAGAAATCCCACAATTTATGAGGGGGAAAGGGCACTACACTCTCAAATTGCATGGATTCCATAGGTTTTGTATGAACTAAACCCCAATTCCATTACAAGGAACTTAGCTGACCTCAAGTATGCACCTGGGAGTTTGCAAGCAGAAAAGTTACAGCTCTAGCCAAAAAAAGACATTCCTCCATCTAAAAAGCAATTTTTGCCTTTTTTTTTTTTTTTTTTTTTGACTCAGGGGAAACTTGGAACATTTTCCAAAACATGAGGGTGTGTAAAGTCTCCCAGAAACAAGAGGAACATTTGTAGTTTATATAACTAAAAATATTAGTTTCAATAGCCCTAGCTGACTGATGAAGAAAGATGATCCTAACTATTGGAGAGGCAGTCAATGTCAAAAAGCCCAAACCATAAATGACTAGTATAACCTTAGACAGTAATAAACCTGATTTATCAAGCTGTGCTTCAGACTTACAAAGACATTTCAGTGACAGCTCTCTTCACAAAACCTCCATTTTTTAAATGCTAATTCTCCCCCTAAAGCAGTAACACCTGGATTATCATTATTTTTTAACACATTAGGATTTAGTTGTAATTCAGATGAACAATTACACTGTCCCCAAACAAGATTCTTAGAGCAGTTCAGGTCATTTTTGGAAAGTCCATAGAAAAACTGCTGAAGTGAGTAATTGATAATGTGTCATCCCTCTGCCCTACCCCTTCTCCATCCACAATAAATATAGAGTGTATAGATACACACACATATAAAAATAAACATATACAACCGTAATTATCATAATCTTACTACAGCATTATATAAACATAGAGACAACCTCACTGTCCATCTTAGGCTTTGATCTGTCATATCTAAAAAAATAAGTCATAACACATTTCTAGCCTAGTTCTGGTCCAACAGTTGTCCACACTATATTCTTCACGGGAAAATGTAATGGCAGGTATCAGGTAAACTACCAAAGGAAAAATCTCTTCCTAATAATTTTTATTGGCTGTAGTCCACTATCAACTACTAAATCAGTTACAAGTCACAATTAAGTACCTGTGAATAATAATAACAACGACGACAACAGAGTGAATAATGAGACCAAAATGTTTTAAAAGTCTCAAGATTAATCTACAACGAGTGTTTTTCTTAGGTCATTGCTCAACTAAGTAGAAAATACAGATTTGATAAACAAATGTAAGGGCAAAAAAAATCCAAACAGCTGCTTCTAACATGAAACAGTTAATATTTAAGTAATGTTACGTTTTCAGTTCATATTTTTTGGCTACACCATAGAACTATATTCAGAACATGCTTGACATACTAAAGGGATGGAAGTAATAAATTTAATAAAGTAAAACAAAATAATCAATCTCGTTTCTCTCTTTTGCCTATAAGAAGACATATCATGAAGAGTGGCTATTGATGACACAGTACAGCATGCTTAGCAGTTAATGCTCTAGTACACATTGGAAGGATAATAGTTTCAGAAAAACTGTATTTCCCTTGTTTATTATGTGCTAATAGACTTCTCAAAGTCTCAACCAAACGGAGCAAGGGAGAGAGGGATTGTGAGGAAACATGCAATTACCTTTGTACTATGCAAACGTAAAAAATATCCATATTTTTTTATTTTCAGAAGTGTCAGATTTAAGGCTGCAATAATTCACTTTTAAATTAAAAGCAAACTGCTCAGTTTTGCTTCTTTTTTGCCATTCACTTAGATCTTTTTATCTCCTCTCCAGTCGCTCTTCCAAGTCACCCAGAGCTCTTTCCAATAGCTGTTTCTCAGCTAGTTGTAATCAAACTAGTCATAACAAATTTAATTCACCTGAGGGCTAAATAGGAGTGTGGATATTCCTATTCACAATCCCAACACATAAAAGAAATTCAGCTTTAGACAATTCTGGCATAATTGGGGCACCATCCCAGCATTTTTCAGCAAAACTTAATGAGAATGTCGATGGTACATTCCTTCATAAAGATTGAGCGATTATACATTCATTTTTCAACAATTTTCTGTGAAGACAAACCAAATTAATGTTTTGAATGATCTTCTCATTAATCATGATCCTTGTCCTCTCTGTTGTGATGCTGAGTGCTTAGTTTTAATCCTTCAATGACTGTAATCCACTTCAGAAAAAAATCTCCTCAGCTAACAGCTCCACAAAGTTTCATTATCTCAAGTTTGAATGTAAGAGCTTTGTGTCCTCAGCATCCTCCCTCCCTCCTCAACCTTTTCATGTGGAAAAAATGCCACAGAAAATCCCCTTTTCTTGGGGTAAAAGTGTCTTACAGAAGACAGGCACTTCTGCAGAAAAAAAAGCCCTTTAAGAGAACATTTATAAGAGCAGACCTTGCCCCAATAGGAGACAGAAACTGAGCTCCTGTGAAAAACATCTTACATTCTTTGTTGAGGGCTTTTTTTTTTTTTTATTTTATGTTACTAATTCCTTAATGTTTTAAGATAGTGGCCTATTTAAAAAAATAAGTAATTTTATATGAATGTGTTACATGAGAAGATAGAATAAAAATCTTTCACTTACCTGTCTATAGTCTTCAGACACTAAAATAAATCCATTGTTATCTATTAGGTAACAGTTGATTGCCTGAAAAATAATTAAGTATGATTTTAATTTTTTATTTTACAGCAATAAGTTAATTACTTACTTTACTCTAATTCCAAGTGACTTCTAAATAGATGAAGCTTTCAGGTTGTTATGGTGGTTCACATAATTACTAAGTGAACGTAGTCTCAACTTATGGGATGTTATCTAATTTTTATGAATTTGTTTCATGCAAAACCAAGCAAAGATGTGTATAGAAAGGGAAGATATAAGATAATTATAAACAAATATAAAAAGAACAAGATCAGTGTTTTTATAATCCATTCTCAAAAGTCTTCCTTATAACTAAGTTTGCAAGGGCACAGAACTCTGCAATGCTTGATGGGTTCTCTTGTGTTTGGAGAAAAACATCAGCAGAATGTCATTACCCTAATGATGTATTAATGAAAACACAGTGTCAGCCAGGAGGACCAACAGGGGACCAGGTAATATTTTTTAATTTGTTCATTGGGGGATGGGACCAGAAACTTCTGTAAAAGAGGCCCCACAGGTCTCCTAAAGCTTTTCAAATTGTGTTTTTAATTGGGAACTGGATTTAGAGGTAGGACTGTTAGCTTTTCGTAGGTCAGACGTATAAACTGTATAAAGCAAGGTAAACCCAAATCAGTGCTTCCCTCCATACACACATGCACTATTTTAACCTCAAGTGATTTACTTGCTACAGGCAAAGTTTTAATTACTGCGCTTCAGTGTTTAAACATAAGGTTCAACTCAAACCTTGATATAACTCAGCTTCTCTTCAGTATTGCCAAATACCTACCTCAGTGTTAAATCTTTAACGTATTTCTATTGTTGGTCTAAATCAGCAAATATTTTATCATTGTTTCTTGAATTTTCTGTGACATTTGTGTAAAAAAAAGACTCCGTAGGATAGCTTCCAAAATAGGAGTCATCGTGGCTTTGCATTTAATTCAAAACCTTTCCTGCTGCAAATGGGTTGCACAGAGACAAGATAAAATATGCTTTCTGCTACACTCTGCACATCCAGCAAAATCCCTTTGCTGTTGCAGAGAGGAAAGCAGTTCCATGCAGCAGTAGTTGTGCAAGATGTCGCGAAAATGCAGTCTAATTTTTCAAGAGATGCTTAGATATGTCTGATTCTTGTTCCGGCCACATATTAGTACTGTTCTGTGGGGCTGCAGAAGCGGAGAGATTTGCAGAAATGCTAGCTTGAAGTTTAGTTTTTAAAACACCAAAGAAGCCCGAATCAGGCAAGAGTTTGGAATGAATGTCATCCCCTAACAGAAATGCAAGATATTCATTCTAATAGGGGAACCTAAACTAGACACCCCAGTGACAGAAAACCTGTCAAAAAGGAAGTTGAAACAACTCATTTCCACCCTTTGATCTGCAAGAAAGCCAAAAATTGGCAATGCAATGTGAAAAGCTGATGATGCTGGCAAAGAATCGGATAGAGCTAATGCATTCAGAGGAGGCAGCTACTTAACCTCAATGGTGTGTGAAGGGTGGAATTTCAGAAGTAGACTGTAACACCAGAACACTGCTCTCCCCAAAGTCAATCATAAACCTCCCACTAACTTTATTAGGAAGGAGCTAAGTCAACAAAGAGCTCTTTTGAGGATACATATTTGCAGTCCTCATGCATGAAAGATTAATCAAAAGATAGTGCTTTAGAAACAATATTTCTCCGCAGTATAGAAAATAAATAAAAGTAGTTATGCTGGACAAGCAAGCGTGTAGGCTTAATTTCATAGTTTATGGATCATATGCAGTTGGGAAAATACTGGCTCAATTCAAGAATTAGTAGCCATATCTCAAATCTCTAAGCCATAGTAATTCACTAGCATCGTTCAGAATTTAAAAAGATACTAATGTTTTAGCATTATTACTGGAAACAGGCATAACACAATAAGTGGAATCTGTATCTTTCTGGAGGAAAGTGAAGGTAAGAGGGTTTCTATTTCAATCTGTTTTAAAAACATTAGCAATGGAAAAACATTCATTCAGGGCCATTCATTCACCTGCTTGCTAGGAAGATAAATAACTTTCAATATTCAGCACTGCATTCAAGAAGCAGTTTGTAACTTCAGTTTAGCACTGCCAAAGGACAGTGGAGTGCGTTTACTTGTCCAATACATTAGCAAATCTCAAACGGAGATTTCAGATGCAAGATTAATACATGGGATAATAGCATTTGCATAGACTAGAGCTGCACAAAAGAGGTTTAATTCACAATGTTTCACAGGTATTGGAAGTGAACCATGCACACGTTTGCCCAAAGGTTCAAGTTCAGTGAACTTCAGATTTCAAGGGGAACGTTCCATAGGTGGAGAGTCCCTGAGCTTGTAAAATAGAGTAGGCATGAAGTCCAGAATAAACACAGCAAGAATGTTGACTGAGGTCTGAGAACACGTTTGAATTACAGTAACTTTGATCCAGTTCAAGTCCTCTATGTATTTTTCACAGCTCCAATATACAATAACAGTAATGGAATGTAATATGGGTTAAGAAACCTAAAACCAAAAAGAACGAAAACAGAACATTAAAATAAAATGTGAGACATCAGGAAAATAAGAAGAAATGAGCAAATTCAAAGCCGCCTTTTCTTTTTTTTTTTTTTTTTAAAGGGATTTTAATTAATTAGATGTCTGTATTTTAGAATCAAAGGTATCACACAAAGTCATCAACTAATTATCTATACGACTAATGTGCCACTCTATTTTAAATGCTTTAATTTTTACCATGACTGTTCAGCAGATATTTTCTTGCCATTGAGAAAAGACAGCTGTGAAAGTTAACAGACTCAACAGAGGAGCTGTGATATTTGATTGAGTTCTATCAACAGTATATTTTGTCATTTTAAAAAAGTTTGGAATCTCTAAATCACCAAGGTTCACACTATTACTAAATTTCTCCATATGCTTACATGGCTCCTGCTGGTGTCAAGTGAAAGTAGCTGAAGAGACTTTCAACTGCTTGTGTTTTCTTTGCATATGGATGTAAGAGCAAAAGAAGTTCTGCATGAATATATAACAAATTATATGACTATTCTTATTAACTGTCAATGCGATAAAAAAGAAGAGTAGACAGTTTCTGGCTGTGCGTTCTTGGGTGTCTTTATCAGTATGTACTTGCTTCTTAGCAAGGACAGACCAAAACATTTTTGCAGTAATGATAATGCTTGTTTTGATTAAGTAGTTGGACGTTTTGCAGCAGGAGCATGTTTTACACAAGAAATTATGTAATATTACTATTCTATCACAAAGGCCATCAAAAATGAAGGAAGTAATCTCTGCCTAGTTTTTAATCCCAAAAGTATGGTGGTTTAGGCTAAACAAGGAGATTTTATACAGCACTCTAACTTTACCCAGACTACCTGCAGTTATTCTTCTTGAGCTGGTTAGCTATGACTAGAAACCCGTCAATGAGAATATTAAAGCTGCTGGAAACAATTCAACATAAAGCCAGCACATTATGTGCAAGCTACAATAAAGCAAGGCCACAAAACATAGGTAATTAACAGTTCTGTAGATTTTCTTTTTCAATAGATGGCCCATTTCATTGCCAAAGATGGCATGATCATCAGACTTCTGTGTTTTGGCTTACTGTAAATTTTATTTTCCAATATTTATTGGTATCTCTATCCTCCAACTGTTAGATCCCAGGGTCTTAGTAGATTAACTACAGTTTGTTGTAAGTTTTGCTTATTTGGTATGCTGAAGAAATTAGTGTTCCACTCTTGTAACTGCAAATGTTTTAAGTTCTGCCTTTCTCCCTGGAATCATTTTTGTGATCTGAATTTCCTATTAAACAGGTATATACTTTTTTAAAAAAATATTACTACACCTATGTGCTCGACTCAAAACAAAATTTCAATGTCACAGTATAAGAAGTTGTGAAATAGCATCCTAGAAGTGAGATTGCTAAGATCGATGATGTACATTTTACACATTTTATAAATTAATTTACACAAAAATAATAAAAAATTAAACAAACATTTTTTGCTTTTAAACAACTAAATATCCAATACAATAACAGCCCATATTAGAAAGCACTCAATCACATTTGTGAACTTTTTTTTTTTACCATGGTTATTTAAAGTTTTGAATTACCTATCCTCAGGAAAGCCCAACTCTGCTAACTTTCACTACAGTAAACATCACACAGCACTCTACGTAACCATTCTTGTTATTTTTTTTAAATGTTCTGAACAGCCCTGAACGAACTTAGTGCTACACAACACAGAACACACTCCAAATGAATTAGCTATTGTATAGGCAGGAATACAGTCAGGGCAGTGGTTCAGGTGGTGGAAGACAGGGAGATTCCATTGGAGATACATTAACACAGGGCAAGCAGCACCTCGTGATAAGTGGGAGTCTATTTCAAATGCTGGGAAAGAGACCTATAAGGTGAGACTATAGGAAAAATAAGAAGAGAAAGCAGAGAAAGAGAAGATAAAGATATATGGAATATCGCAAGTAACATCTGTGGGTCCCTATTGCAAAAAGTAGTGACACAAACATGTGAGAAGAAATGGCTTCAGAGAAAGACATGAGAAGGCATTGTTTAAACACCAGAATTTGCAATGGTGGGGCAACTGCTCAGTTTTTCCTGGTTTGCTCCGAGTATCATGTGTCATGCTTTGTTGAAAAGGATATAAAAACTAATGCTGCGCTGGATGCTGACTCTTGGCCATACAGGCAGCAGCTTTCCTGAAAACAACTAAGCATAGACAAAAATGGAATGAAACTGTATAAAAATTGTTATCGTGCTTGAAAAAAAGGTTGCAAAAACGTTGCATTAGCATGAATTACAGAGCCAAACAGGCTCTTTTCTTTTATTTATGTTTTGCAACAGTTCTTTTGGCCACTGAATGAAAAGTATCATACAAATAAAGTCTGCAGTTTTTATTACCAGATGTATGAATTTACATTTTATCATATTTAAACTCATATAGCTTGTTTAAGCACAGTTTATCAGGTGATCCAGATCTCCTCACACCATTCACTCAGTTTAGAGATAACATGCGGATGTTATATCAGTAACTGCTTTGTTTTCTTCCAAATCACTAAATATACATGATACAATATCTCAAACCCAACTTTGATTTTCTAGAATTGTGTATGACTTATTTCTCCCCACATATCAATACAGTCTGTGCTTTATTAGCCACTTTTTAACTCATTTAACCTGTGATACATTGATTGCTTAACCAAAACATCATATGCTATGATGACAAATGCTTTGCAAAAATCTACACATAAGATATTAAAAATACTATTTTTATCTAACAAATTAAACTACATAAAAAGCTACTTTGATGAGTTCATTAACCCTAACTGACTAAAGCTACTTCTTTTTTTCACTTCTGAAGTGCTATTAATGTATTAGTTCTGCATATATTCAGCTCTGAATTCATGCCTAATTCTAGTGCAAACATCAGAAATTAGTTTCTAAGAAGAACAATAAAGTAGCAAAACAACTGCTTTAGAATAGCTTCAAATTATTTCCAAAACCAGGTTCACAAAGCTTAAGTTATTACAATGCATACTTGAGGTATCGGTGTCAACCTTGTAGTTCAATGAATGTTTGTAAGAAGTCATAAAAAAAGCCTCACTTTCTAAATAGTACAATATTTAGCAGATGATTCCAAATTATGCCAGGATATTATAATGTACAATGAGTTGTTCAAACTAAATTCATCAACTTTATGTTGTACTGCAGTGGAGGTATAAATGGAAAAAAAAAAAATCTGTTAGATACTTACTTCATCATCACAACTTATAGCACATCTGCCATCGAGAGATGCACACTAGAGATGATATCAAAAATCAATAAAATATTTTCATTTCTCGTTTGATGATTACAAAATATGACATTTAAAAATCCAGATGAGCACAATTACAAAGAAGTTGATATGGATTACATTTTTATCTGACAGCAATTGTTCGGAAAATGACTAGGAAAGTTTTAAATCTGTTGACCAATCCTGTTCTGTTCCTGTCTGCAGAGAAAGGGTGCATTCACACTGTAACAATTTCAACTCTTTTCAACACCATAATCTCCTCCATGTGTTGGAAGATTGGAGGGATGGCATCTCCTAATTTGTAGAAAGTATATAATTATCCTCTTCAATGAGCACAAATTCTGTATCCTGAACACTTTAGGTATAGTTTATCGAAGACTATGAATACCAACCATGATTCAGTAATTTAGTTTAGTTCATTAATCTAGGTGATACTTCAGTTACTGAATGTCAGAAGATAGGTACTAAGTAAGAAGGTGTAATTCTCCTATCACTGAAAACAAATAAATATCACAGTTTGATTTACTGTTTCCATTTTTTCTGAGGAAGAAAATCAACATGTGTAAGGCCAATGAAGTAACTCCTTATGTACAGAGGCCTAAAGTTAATAACCTTTCTACTTGTTTCTATAAATATGAAACCAAGCAACTGGCTTTGACCACTGAATTATGTTTGTAATGATGAACTGGAACATAAATCAGAAGAGCTAGCCTTCATATACTTCTAATAGATTGTTTCTTTACAATAGTTTTGCTTGTGACAAAAAAATTGCAGATCGTCATTTGCCCAGTTAGAAAGCTGTTGTGGATTCAATGCCAAAGAAAATTTCAATTTAAAACATACCTGTCTGCTTGCAGTCCAAAATTTCCGCTGGAAAAATTCAAGTTTCATCTGGATACCTACAGCTGGGAAAGACATGAATAAAAAAAAAACAAAAAACAAACAAATAAAATAAAACCAGAGAGTTTAATTCCTTCAAAATGATTATTTAAAATTAATTAGAAAAAAAACAGTCTTATAATAAAAAGGGAAAGTAAGCCCTAAATTAAAAAAAAAAGCAAACTAATGAAACTGAAGACACCACACGGTCATATTTTAAACCATTTACAGTTTAGTTAAACATGAAGACATTGCTAATATAACATGAAGAATACACAAGGCAAACACCTATCAATTTGCCAATGTCTCTGTAATTAACATAAAAGAACCAGAAGCTGAACATATTTATGTTCACATTTATCTCAAATTTATATTTTACTGATACAAATTTAACAGCTATAGGAACACACACTATGTGTTTTGTGATGAAACAGATGAAGATGTGCTGAAACAACATGAAAACGTTAATTAACACTTCAAGTCATCATTTGGTTTTGGGTCATTTAATCCATGAATTATCAGAGGAACATAGAAGTCTATTTCAAACATTAAAAACTTATTTAAAAAAATTGAAATTCAGAGCATTATGTGCAATTCTGTCAAATGAAAGTATCTGACAAACACTACTAGTTTTCTTTTTTTTTTTTAAAAAAAGATACTAATGATAACAGCTTATGTTTTTTTAATAATGATTCAAGATACTACTGGTTTAAATTATGTATTTCTCATAATCTCAAGTGGGATTATGTTTTTCCTAATATCAGTGAACCTTTCTTGCAGCCGAGTCTGATGTTCCTATCAGACCCAGCACTACGCTGGTTCTATTGAACAACAATACAATGCATTGTGGTTTGCATGAGCTCCAAAGGCAGTTGACTCTCCTGGTTTCACCTGCCTAAATTAAGATAATGATAATGCATCTATCTACCTGTGCTGAACATTTCCGTATTAGCATTCTTTTATTTAAAAGAAGTTAATATGATGAAGAATATGGCAGGAAGACAGGGACAGACGCACTAAAGACATCTGCTTTGATTGCTCTTACCAGCTACTGCTGCGTCCCTGAACCGGACGCTCTCGCTCACTCACAGAGCATATCTTGTGCTAGGCTTTTCTGCAAAAGGCTTTCAGGGCTGGCCCTGTACCAGTTGTTCAGCACAATTTATCAACAGGTTCTAGTTCAATGCCCTACAGCTCTTTCATGTCAGCTTAGAGGATACACAATTGCTGGGGTAAAAATAATGAACTGGGCCCCAATGACTAATCTATAACCTTAGTATACTATTTTCTTCACAAAAGCTACAGTTTTTAGAGCCTTGAAAGTCTGAAGATCTAACTTCTAGCAAATTCATTGCTACAATGTTCTGTTTAAAAACAAACAAAACTTCAAAAAAAATTAGTTGTTTTGGAAAATTGAAGAAAATGTCATTTATTCCTTCCTCCTCTAGGATCCACACAGCAGGGATCATTTAAAACCATATTTACATTTACATTATTGGTACCTGTTATTGCAAATGCACACATGCTGATGTAATGTATAGATTTTATTTTGTGTTAGAAGGTAGGAAAAAGTATGTGAAATGAAACCCGTAATGAACTGATACAATGGGATGTGAAATTGCATAAGGAGTTTTCTTATTATAGCAGGTTATAAATAGTTTTCTGCTATCTGTAACTCATGGACATTTTGGCCTAAAAAGTAGAGAAAACCAGTTCTCCTTTTGAAAAAGCTCCAGAGGAGACTCACTCCAGCTACATTTTATTATCTAGTAATTTATTTTATGGTCAATAAGAAGATGCTATCTGACAGCCATGCATCACATGTTTTCTTCATCTCTTGTTTGCCTTTAGGTTCCTTCCTTAGCAGGTTCCTAATCTTTTAACGATTTCTATAAACCTTCCAAAATCCTTGTCTCCACCTCTGGACTCTCAGGTGCCTTACAAATTCTGTTCCTTACCCATTCATAAACACTAACAGCTTCAATCACCTGTACTTACTATAGAGTACCTCTAACAAAGAATCTCAAAATACTCACTGTATGTGGTTAATTCTTAATAGTCTTATTTTCTTGCCGGAAAAATGATGCATGAAGGAGATAATTACCAGAGTTCACACAAAGATCTGATATGGAGAGTCACAATAGCGGGGTTTAGAATAAAGCACAGATCTGTGCTCTCCAAAGCCTTATTCTATCAGTTAGAAACACTGCTGCTCTTAACAGGCAGAGATGACTGGACTGTGGTTAGGTATTGTTCCTTTAAGATTTAAGGTCTTGATAAGGTCAACATTTTGGAGCTCACACTCTTTTTAGAGATACCATCATGCAGAGCAGAGAAGCAGTTGCCAAAATGAAGAAAATTATCAAGTTCATTATCTAGATGATGTAAAAGAACAGAGTTGTTAACAAACATCAGTTTAAGGTTTAAACCTCTAAGAAACATTTATTAAGCTGTAAAGGAGGAAGACAAAGATCTATTCCACTATGTTTATGAAAGTTCATCCCTTTGTGTTTATATATCCAACACATATAGCATCTGTCCAAGACCTATAGTATGTCTAAACTGCAAAATACCAGTACAGATCAATAACAGTGATATTTGAATACAAAATATTCCATAACATGTCAGTGATAAGTTTCCATAATTTAGAGATTATTTGATCTGCTGTGGCTGGCCTGTTTAAAATACCTGGCAAAGCAACTTTTGATTAAATGTCACTTCTGTTCTTGTAAACTACTAATGAAAGTATAATAAACATTAAGGAACAATTAAAGCTATTGTTCTCCCATAATTAAGTTGTATGTATATATACAAATCTGAGCAGGATGTTGGACTAGATGACCTCAGGAGATCCCTCCCAATCATAAACTGTTCTATGATTCTAAGATTGAAGTGTAAATGTTTTGAAGAGAAGCGCTAAATGTATAGCCTAGAATCTTTCTTAAATAAAAAGAAAGTGAACATGTACTGAGGGTTTTCTAGTGTCCGGTATAAATTACTTACCACATAAGAGAGAATCTGAAACATTAACAAGATAATTATGACAAAGCTCATCTGTAAAAGATTCCATGTGGATGTTTTAATGAGTTGCACAAGGGAATGCTGTAGTATAAAGACAATTGAAACACTAAGACTAATTTATACGAAAAGCACAGCATCCCTCTTCAGGAAGATGAGAGGAGGCAGGCAGCTGCAGTTTTGTTTTCAGAGTATTAGTTCTATGAATTTTGATGCTTTCTTGAACAGACTGTGAGGGGAAATAAAAGATAGTGAGAAATACTGGGCTTGCTCCCACTCAAGCAGATTCCCATGATTTCAGCCGTAGTGCCATTTGTGTAGAAACTGAAGGCCCAGGCACTATCAATTTAGTTACTGTTTCCTTACTTTTTCAAAAAAGATTCAGTTTATCTCTCTACCTAACTTTTTAAAGAACTGTATCACTAATCTCTGAGGTACAATACCATTATAGGAGGTAAAACAGAAATGCATCTTAAACTTAGTCTACTCTGGTCAAGGTAATACAACGTAACAATGGCAACATTTTAAGTATAATACACAACAGACTACATATTTCCCTTGTGAAGTATTTCCTCAATTAGAGTTTTGTAATCCTTTCACTTGTTATTAAATAATGAAATGCTACATGACCATGACGGTTCGACTTGATCTACAGTTGGACTCAATGCTATTAAGAGTCTTTGCCAACCTAAATGATTCTATGATCTGTACCTACGTTGCAGGATAGGAGGAGAAAACACGGCTCCCATAAATATGGTATGGTGAAAGCAGCAACACACATTTGAAGAGGTGTGTCTTACTGTGAGATTTTAATCTCACCACTTTAGTTTCATTTTTTTCCTAGCATACTTCCACATAGGAACTTACCTGTCACTAAGTAATTTCTAAAGATTCTATAGCCTATGTAATATATAATAAATGTAAATTATCAATGTTTCCTACAATTCAGCTAATCATTATTTGAATGCCTCTACATTGAAAAGAATTAACAGTGTTAGTGCATGGGAAAATAATTATCTTTTCAACCTTGGAGGTGAGACTAAAGCATTTTTGCAGGCTTTTTTCCTGAGCTTTTCCAGAACATTGTAACTAGCACAGGATACTTTTTGGTCAGGTCTTTTAGTGCCTTAAGAACTACTCAAATGTATTTCATAAGGTTGTAGAGCCAATACATTATTCTGAGCAAACCCTAGTCCTCCAGTATTTGAGAACTTCAGAATGCAATATCTATGCTCCAAGCTACTTTATATTTAAATCTATATTTTACAGACTGTCTGCATGTGGGGAAAAAGGAAAACTTCAGAATTATATCTCCCACGTCACCAATTCCTTGTTTAGCCTCCTGGGTGCAGAGGTTAGACACAAAAAAAAAAGTATAATTGCACTGAAATTTTTCTAAATATTTTTTCAGCAAAGTATCCAGATAACACTCAGATTTTTAATTAAAAACCAAAACACAAACAATAAAAACTATAATTCATCTTTACATGGAATATACATTTTAAAGCATATAATAAAGTATTCTTCAACATTTGTAGGCTTGGTTAAATCAAAATGACCAAGGGATACAAATTGTTTTTCTTCAGCCAGGAAAAAATGAGTAAAGATGAAGAGGAAAGGTTTTGCCTTCACTGATCCACTTCCCTTCTAATGTCACTGGGGAGGGTGGGCTGGAGCTAGAGGTATACAGGAGATCAACTAATGGGAGGTGATGGGGTAGTATTAAGGCTCTTTCTGCATGTAACACAAAATGTGTCATTTCAAATGAATATTGCAAATAGAATTTTTGTTTCAATCCTACTAGCAAATTTCTTTAGATGACTAATAAATACCTTTAATGCTACCTATGGAAAACAGTTATTAACTCTCTGAGATTTTTTTCCTTTCTGTAATAAAATGGCTGCTATTCTGTACTGCATACCCTATGAAATAATAGATGGTTGAGAATTACAAAGTTAAATTCTTGGCTCAGTGATAATTATGTTATATAAGTAATTTCCTTATGTAT